CCACTTGCACAGATGTCACCACGGCTCAATCGCATTCATTTAAGCTGGCTGTGGCCTAGGCTTTAGCAGATCCAGTGAAGGCAAGCGATTGTGTTTGGGAGCTTCCCAAGAACGAGCTGCTAGCCCAGTGGCTTGCTTGGCACAGTGGGTGAAAGTTTGTGGGTGTGTGCTCGCAGTCAGTGCCTGCAGCGAGGGACAGTGGCCTTGTCGCTTGCAGACTCAATTGTAAGCCCCCCCAGGCGCAGACAGCATATCCTCTAGGTACCTGATTATTTGCAGCTTTTGCTGGCTCTTTTGCGCACACACACACACATGTGTTGTATTTTTTTGTGGAGTGGGTACTGATTGGTTGGAATTGGGTTCAATGTTTAGCTTTTAATTTTATGTTGTTCTTGTAGATGTTCCACCATTCCACTCTACTCTTCGATTGTCCGTCATTGACTGCAAACTTCCAGGTGCTGTAGCCTGACAGTGCTGCGAGACGTGTACAGCACCTTTGGCGATGTGGGGGTCTCAACAATTCACATCTAGATCATTCTGGACCATTCTGGACGCAGTGTCGACGTTGGAAGAGATCCAACGACAATGTTGACATCTGCGTGCGACTTTCTCCTGCCCAGGTTCAGCTCAGGCGCTATTTCGAGGCCCGTGGTGTGCCTACCATGCCTGACACAGCGAACTCCTACTTGTTAATGTGCGCCAATCTGATGGATGCAGCCGAGGAGACTAACGATACTAATGCACATGACGCCGACCAGTTCCGGGCCATTTGGGCCATCCAACGTTTCTGTAAGCATTTCAACATTTGTGCAACATCTTGATCAGCTCGCAATTTTGACCTCCGAGTGGTCGCCGTTGGGGCATGTGTGCTAGTGTGGGTGCAGACGGAGGAGCTTGGAAAGGCCTGGCGCAGAGCTGAAGGAAACCCCGAGATGGCTCTGGCAGCTTGCTTCACATGCGTATTCTTTGTGAGCAATTTCTCCGAGAATCTGGCAAGCGAGACAGAGAGAGGCCAGGCCGTTCAGACACCTTGTCCTCGGCTCAGGTGACCTTGCCCGGCCAAAGGCCCGCTGGGGGCAACAGGATCAGCTCCTTGCCTGCACCGGACATATCCGTTTCTTTTTTTCTTGGGGGGCGGCTCTACTTTTCCATGATATGCACTTTTTTCCTTACAACAAGTTTGCTCCACAGCTGGTGCAGGTGCTGTGGACTTCTTGAACCAAGTGTGGGACGCCTTGCTCTTCATCTACAAAGGCCAGACATCCTTCCATCCTGCTGTTCATAGGCCCCCTCTCAGAGTAAAAGCTGGGTGGGAAGACTCATTATAGTATCCGCTCAACACAGTAGAAAGAAAGAGGGACTGGGAGAGGACGGTTTCTTTTCTTTGGGGCAGACGATGTAGTTGGATCGCCAGACCTCCAGGAATGGCGAGGGAGTCGCTTCGGAACGCAGAAAATAGTTCGCTTCGGAACGCGGGAACGGTATCGCTTCGGAACGCGTGTCAGAGCTAGTAGGTTGGAGGCCATCAAAACGTGTGTGTGTGTGTGTGTCCACCCCTGGACAAAGGGTTTTCCACCGCCACTTCTTC